GTCAAAAGGAGTTAAGTCATGTTTTTTTGAAAATCATGTTTTACCTCCTTTATCTTCGAAAAAAAACTCCATTTTTGGTACAAACAAGTTAAGTCACCAAATAAATGTGATGTGTACCTATTAAAGATATGTTTCAAATTTTAATTTCTATTAAGATCTTAAAAAGTTATGTCAGTTTATATCGTTCTGATTTAATAATAAAATACAATTTTAAGATATTGTTGGATTAAGTCAACTTAAATCATTTCAGTTACAAACATACCTAATCAATTTCATTTTAAAATCAATTGGTGTTAAGACATTTAAAATAGATATTATAAGCTTAAGTTATAAATTTTTTTTTTTTAATATAAGGAGTTAAGTTTTGGTCGAAATGATATAAGTCAATTTTCTAAAAGTGAGTATGAGTTAAGTACACAAAAGTCAAAAGTATAACTAATCAAATTTGTTCATAACTTTTAGAACAAAACTTAAAATTGAAAGTAGGTATATATTAGTTTGAAACGGGTATAACAAAGTTTATGTAATAAAAATCTGATTTAGGGAAAAATTTCAAACTTTTAATAAATCCTAATGAAAAATCATAATTTTTGACTTAACACCTTTTGACTGTTCACCAAAGATTTAATCTACCTATGATAATATTAAACATATTGTAATAAATTACTTAAAGTAAACGAATGAAATTTTTTTAAATTAAATTATACTTGAAGAATTAATTTATTAATTTTATTTTATTAAAATGTTTTTTAAAAATTGTATGCACAATGATATTTGGAATTCACAACATATTTCACATTATTATTTTAATTATTTTTTTTTTTTTTAATTGATCTTTAAAGCCTGGTGACTATGGCCATTAGCTGATTGTAGGGGTTTTTTATGATTGTAGGTTGTAGGGTTTGCAATTGTAGGGTTGTTACACGTGTGTGTTGTGTTTGGCAGAATTTCTGTTGGGGCACCCGTAGGTTTCTGCCATGCCCCGGAGTGGGGGATGGCGGCACTTGTTCTCCGGACACCGTGACTTGCCCGGATAAAAATGCCGCCCAGTGGTCGAGAGAATCGAACCCGCGACCGCCAGCGCCGCAGACGACGTGTTCGACCGCTCGGCCACCTCGTCCCCCTTATTTTAATTAAATAACAATGAATAAACACCTACCCGGGCATGGCAGATACCTACGGGTGCCCACTAAAAAATCTGCCAAACTGTTTAAACGTGTTTAAACCTTCAGTACCCTCCCACACAGTCAAAAACCACCCAATGGCCTAAGTTCCATGGGTTAATTAATAATAAAAAAAAATTAAAAAAATTAACAAACAAATTCAAATGTGTCAATAATAACCTTTATTGAAATTAATAAAATAATGTCATCTTGCCCCACAAATGTTTTTTGACAATTTTAATTATTCATTAGCACATACATTTTATCATGTTTATCATAAATACATTAAAAATGTAGCTTATAACATGTACTTTTTAAAGTATAAAATCGATTTAGTAATTATACTTATGGCGACATGGCGTACTTCAGAAATCCTTACTGTAATTAATGTTCTAAAAATGTTTTAAATTTAATGTAAATACCTACCATTTAAAATCAGCAGTTATACCTAAATTTATAATACGAATACTTCTATTTAATAACTTATACTAATGTTTAAAATAACACTCTCTATCTATGTAATATAAATAAACATTATTGTTCATAATAATAGTATCTATTTTTGGAAAAGCAATATCTTTGGACGAAAAAAGAGTTATCTTTTTGGATTTCGATACAAAATGTTGTTTGAAGACGTACCTGCTTATATTAATGCGTAGAAGAGATTGTGTGTTTATCTTTTACTTGAAAAATATTTAAACTTAAAAAGTACTCAAGACCTTATTTTGGATAAGAAAAAAAAGAAATTTCTTAATAATATAAAAAATTTTGAACAAAATGTTATATTTAAATTACAGCTATTCGGACGAAGACAAGCAGTGTTCGTATTCCGTAGTGAACTTACAACCTTCAGCTTTAAGTGGATCCGTTAAATCCGGTAAATATATAAAGATACGCTACCGAATCATAATATATTCAAATATCGAGTACTTACCAATACATACATGCTACTTATATAATAACAAATATACAAATCTCGTGTCACGGTGTTTGTGGTGGCACTCCTCCAAAACTGTTCGACCGATTTTAATGAATTTTTTTTTGTATACTTGGTAGCTATGGGAGTAATTATAGGTATAATTATAGGTCGTAAAGTATTTTTCACCCATAAGCTTGTGCACGGGGTAACTATGGTAGGCACTTAACTACTATGCAAACTTTCCCCACCTCCTCAATATTAAATATTATCATTATAGTCAATCATTTTATTTTTATTTATAAATTACTTTTTTAATACGGTAAATGTAGCTAAATGAGGTTACCCTTTCATATTAGTGTTTATAACTGAAGCTTGGATATGATTTTGTATAATATGTATACGAGACTGTCTGGGTGAACCTAAGGATTTTGCAAAATTTTGATTTTAAGGGGTTAAAATTGGCAAAAATATAAAATATTACGTGTAGATTGTATACCTACGTAACGGTTGCTATTCAAATTTGGTTATAGGAGAAATAATTAGTTGAAATTAGTATTTATTTATTATTTGGTGCCAGCGGTTATTCGGATTAGATCAGGTAAAAGCTTGTTTCAACATTGCCTACCATTCTACCAAGGTGAATGAGTTGCACTTTGTCCGAAGTAATCGGATTTCCTACCAGGGTGGCTGAGTTTTACTTACTGCAGCAAGTTACACCCAAAAAGAGTTGAACACAAAACAATCATATTTTTTTTAAGGTTGGCCATTATTTACGTGCAAAAACATACCATGGGCCATAAAATACCATGAGTTGGCTAAACCTTAATATGAACTTAAAAAACTACTGAAGTGCTGCAGAACCCGGACACCCTGCCCAAAGTGGAAACACCCGTTGTTCTTGTAGATTGAAGGTCTTGGGCGGCCTCCCACACACCACTTACGCGACGATCCGTATGTCGGACTGGGCGGAGTTGGTGGACACAGGACACAGGACACGAATACGCGGCAATGGCCAACTTCCACACAGACAGTTAATAATGATAGAAAGACTCACGGTTGCTGTTCGTAATGACGAGGATTTATTTCAATAATATTATGTTATGTCGTTTCAATAACGACTTGAGATCCAGTTACAATGACAATACAAGTAATAATAATAATGGTCTGGTTACATGGACCACACAGTACAGGTTTAACAATAATTTATAACCACATCACGTTGTGTGTGTACCACAAGGGTACTAAACCAAAAGTAACAGGCGTATATAAAAAAGGTATGTGCTGCAATAGCTGAAAAAGAAAAAAAAATTAATAATTAATAATTTGCGAACGACGAGAGTGAGAATAATAATAATAATGTTATAACAACAAGGGCGTTGGCCGCAACAATTGATATTAAGAAGAAAACACAAGAAATATTAAGATAATTTACATATAAATAAAGACAATAAATATGATAACTCTAATAATCAATAATAATAATAATACACAAGGAATCACGGTAGGAAGAAGAGAGGAGTGGAACTGACCGATAAGAACAGTCGTGCCGTCGTGCTCATTAGCATATCACAGTTGATAATTTTCAGCCCCAACACTAACTATGTGCTTTGTCTGAGTGTCCGCAGTCACATCCTTGATCATCACTTGTGCATCAGCTAGGTGGTTTATCGACCCTGACCTTTACATATTCGATTCCATAATCTACGTGGAAGGGACAATCCTGGTTGCACGGAAGGGACATCTTTTACTAAATTCCCATTAATTGGGAAATTGCTTTCCCATTCTTCTTGCCACATAATTTGTATAAACATTAATTTTTTTTGCATATCAATATTATCTTGAGTATTACCTTTTACCGTTCTACATTATGAGTATACAGAAAATAATATATTATGTTTCAAAATGCCATAGTCCCACAATAGGTTAGCACTAGTAACGCTATTATTATTATGTATTAATTAAATTTTTTTGTGTTTTTCTCCCAACAGGTGCTTCAATCATGACGAAACGAAACAAATAATGAAACGTTCAAATCTTACGGATATATATAAAATATTTTTTTTTTTGAATAATATGTAATGTTGCCAAAAGTAATGCCGCTTATTAAATTCATTGAAATATACTATTCTATATTGATACCTGTATAAGAGAGTGTTAATGCCATAAATTATCTTGATTATTTATTTCATGGTTTAAATCAATGATTAGACAAAATTGCCAACTTAGAACAATTAGATTATTCGGATTTCAATTTCAGTAAAACATTGGGTTTATCGGACTCTTTTCTAAAGATTTTTGGTTTTTTTTTATTGTAACTCAAAAAACATAACCACCAACATAATATATTATGCAATTATCACTAAATGTTTGTAAAAACATTTTCCGTATGTTGCGGAGTGGACTGTAACTTTCCGATACTGGTTACTTCGGATACTCAGCTGGTTGATTAGGCTATTATTTTAAATTAATAACTTATACGCAATTGAGCAAATAGAATATTAAATTATTTTATTTTCACTATAATACGGAGCCGACATGTCCCGTTCGCTCTTTTTCGACGACTGCTAAATTAATACCATACAAAATTGATCGAGGGCAAACCCGTCGGCCTCACTAGCCGATAACAATATTATCATTCCGATTATTATAGATATTCGATAGTCGATAACATTTCAACCGATACGTGACATGCCGCCCGCCTTGAAATATTTTTCAAACAACAATAATTATAATACATGAGTACAGGACTAATATCATAACATAATAATGTAACATAATGAATAATAATAGGTATCAAAAAAAAAAAAAAAATTCTATTGTTGTTACATATTAATAATAATACGAATAAAAATCATACAAATAATTCATATCAAAAAAAAAAAATTTATTACAAGAATTAATTTATTTTGGCCTTTGATTTAACCATCATTGCCTTCGAATGGTAGTGGACACAGCTTACGCACTGCCCGGGTTAACTCGCCATCAACCGTTTTTACTACCGCGGTACGAATGATGTTGTCACTTCCCCGTGTCACCTCTCTCACTCGTCCGATTTTCCACCGTAAGGGTGGCAGATTATCTTCACTAATTAAAACTACACTGCCGATATCCACTTTGGGTCCCTTTTCACTAGCCCATCTTGACCTCTCTTGCAATTGATGCAAATACTCTCGACTCCAACGTTTCCACAAAATTTGTGAGAATTGTTGAACGCGACGCCAACGGTCTAACCGGTTTACCTGAGTATTTGTTTCATCCCGCTCCGGTATAGACATTAGGGAGTCTCCGATTAGGAAATGAGCTGGAGTGATGTATAATAAATCGGAAGGATCCGAGGACAAAGCCGTTAAAGGCCGAGAATTTAAATACGCTTCTACCCTAGTGAGTATAGTACATAACTCTTCGTACGTTAAATATGATTCGCATAGTACACTTCGTAATAATGATTTCATCGACTTAACCGCTGCCTCCCATAATCCCCCAAAATGAGGCGACCTGGGGGGAATAAACTTCCATTGTACTCCTATTGTAGCCAGACCAGATTGAACGATCTCTTGATGCTTTTGATCTCGGAAAAGTTGATATACTTCTTTTAAATGCCTGTTTGCTCCTACGAAGTTGGTAGCATTGTCGGAATAAATCATAGCACATTTACCCCTGCGATCAAAAAATCGGTTCAACGCATTTAAAAATGACTTTGTGCTCAAATCTATAACGACCTCAATATGCACCGCCTTAGTAGCAAAACATACAAATATACAAACATACCCTTTTGTCGCGGGTGCATTTCGCCTTAAACTCTGTTTTACCATTATAGGCCCCGCGAAATCGACACCGCAGATTTGAAATGCACGAGATTGGATTTCTACACGCTCTCTAGGTAAATTACCCATGATTGGTTGTACCACGGTAGGCTTCATTCGAAAACATTTCACACAACGGTACACGGTCTTTCGAGCTATATTCCGGGCATTAAGTGGCCAATATTGCAGCCGGATCGACGCTAACATTATGCTTGTGGACCCCCGTGTAATAACTGTTCATGCTCCTGTTGAAACAACAAATTTGTATACGCGGACTCTTTTGGTAATAATATGGGGTGCTTTTGAAAAATGCCTAATGATAACGCATTTTTTAGCCGCCCGCCCACACGGATTAATCCCTCTTCGTCGAGAAACGGTCTCAATCTGAATAACTTGCTTTTCGACGATACCTGACCATTTTCCGAATTTAATTCATTTAACTCCTTTTCAAAATGGTCCTTTTGTACTTTAATTAAAAGTCGCAAATTTGCATTACGTAAATCAGTTGTTGTTAAAACTCCGCACTCTGATATTTTTGGTTATTTTATTTTATTATAAAAACGCACGCAATAGGCGGTAATTCGTATTATTTTATTCAACGACGAATACTTGTCAAATATAGAAAATGTATCCGTGGTAATACCGGAAAATTCTATAACGTTTTGTTTTTCAGGAATATTTTTACCATTTAATTGATGGTGTAAAACCTCATTTTTTGCCGGCCAATCCTCTTTATTTAAACACAACCACTTCGGGCCATACCACCATAATTCCATAGCCGCAATTTGGGACGCATCACACCCGCGCGATATTAAGTCAGCTGGATTGTCGTGTGTACTAACGTGGGACCACTCACTATAGTGCAGGATAAATCCTGAATCTCTCCAACCCTGTGGGCAACAAATGTTTTCCACCTGGTGGACGGTGACGAGATCCAAGCAAGAGTAATAGTAGAATCCGACCAAAAATATTTTCTCTCTATTTCTAGTCGTAATTTTGGAATTACACGATGCTGCATACGCGACGTACGTTTGGCCAGCCCCCCCCCCAAAGGAAAAACTGTAAACAAACTATACAGATATTTAGCACGTAATTCGCACGAATTCGCACGCCTGGTTTGATAATTCGCACGACCTTCCTTCCCCCTCAAAAATCAAAATCCATGGGGGGGGCCAGCAACACGTCTTGCCAGCCCCCCCATAGTTTAAATCAACATTTTCGCAATTTTTTTTTTGCAGATATTTAGCACGTGATTCGCACGTATTCGCACGCCTAGTTTTGAAATTCGCACGACTCTCCTTCCCCCTCAAAAATCAAAATCCATGGGGGGGGCCAGCAACACGTCTTGCCAGCCCCCCCCATAGTTTAAATCAACATTTTCGCAATTTTTTTTTTGCAGATATTTAGCACGTAATTCGCACGAATTCGCACGCCTGGTTTGAAAATTCGCACGACCTTCCTTCCCCTAGAAAAACAAAAATTCATGGGGGGGCTGGCAAAACGTTTCGCCAGCCCCCCCGGAGGTTCAAATTAACATTTTCGCAAATTTTCTTCTGCAGACATTTAGCACGTAATTCGCACGAATTCGCACGCCCGGTTTGAAAATTCGCACGACCTTCCTCCCCTCCAAAAACAATAAAATCATTTTTTTGTCAAGAGAGATTTTTTATTCAATCAAGATATTTTCCATTGTACTTAGAATATTTTCTTATTAAATACAGTTGTCTATTAAGTTTTTTATTTAATATGGATTGTATATTAAAAATAGATTTTTTTTATTAACTGCAGGTATTTTACTAAAGTTTTTTTTATACATTTTTTATTCAACTAAGCTTTTTTTTAGGTTATACGCAATATTGTAATTAAATATTTTTCCAAGCTCACCATTATAATCTTGATTGAATAAAAAAGCCTAGTTGAATAAAAAATCTATAAAAAAACCTGAGTAAATTACATTTAGTTAATAAAAAAAAATCAATTTTTAATAAATAATCTATTTTAAATAAAAATCTATATTTGATTAATGAATCTATATTAAACAAAAAAACCATGATAAAAAATTGTATTCAATAAAAATAATCTAAGTAGAATAGAAAAAAATTGTATTAAATAAAAAAAGCCTAGGTGATTAAAAAATCTATAAAAAAAAGCCTGAGTTAATCACCTATAGTGAATAAAAAATAATTTATTTTTAATAAACAATCTAAAATAAATAAAAAACATTTAGTATTCAACAAGATTTTTTTCCATTATAACCGTAATATTAAAGACTTCCGATCTAGAGAAAATCTATATTTTATAAAAAAAAACAATATCAAATAAAAAACTTAATAGACAACCGTATTTAATAAAAAACTAATCTAAGTAGGACGTAGGTACAATGGAAAAAAATCTTGTTGAATACTAAATGTTTTTTATTTATTTTAGATTATTTTAGGTGATTAAAAAATCTATAAAAAAAAGCCTGAGTAAATCACCTTTAGTTAATAAAAAATAATTAATTTTTAATAAATAATCTAAAATAAATAAAAAACATTTAGTATTCAACAAGATTTTTTTCCATTGTACCTACGTCCTACTTAGATTAGTTTTTTATTAAATACGGTTGTCTATTAAGTTTTTTATTTGATATTGTTTTTTTTTTATAAAATATAGATTTTCTCTAGATCGGAAGTCTTTAATATTACGGTTATAATGGAAAAAAATCTTGTTGAATACTAAATGTTTTTTATTTATTTTAGATTGTTTATTAAAAATTAATTATTTTTTATTCACTATAGGTGATTAACTCAGGCTTATTTTTATAGATTTTTTAATCACCTAGGCTTTTTTATTTAATACAATTTTTTTCTATTCTACTTAGATTATTTTTATTGAATACAATTTTTTATCATGGTATTTTGTTTAATATAGATTCATTAATCAAATATAGATTTTTATTTAAAATAGATTATTTATTAAAAATTGATTGTTTTTTTATTAACTATAAGCATTCTACGAAGAATTTTTTTTAGATTTTGTATACAATCAAATTTTTTATTAAAAATTAGATTATATTTTATTCAACATAGATTTTTTATTAAGGTTTCTTGTCAAGATAGACTTTTTATTAGATTAAGATTTTTTCTATTCTACATACGTTATTTTTTTTATTGAATACAGTTTTTATTTATTATAGATTGTTTATTAAAAATTGATTTTTTTTTATTAACTAAATGTAATTTACTCAGGTTTTTTTATAGATTTTTTATTCAACTAGGCTTTTTTATTCAATCAAGATTATAATGGTAAGCTTGGAAAAATATTTAATTACAATATTGCGTATAACCTAAAAAAAAGCTTAGTTGAATAAAAAATGTATAAAAAAAACTTTAGTAAAATACCTGCAGTTAATAAAAAAAAATCTATTTTTAATATACAATCCATATTAAATAAAAAACTTAATAGACAACTGTATTTAATAAGAAAATATTCTAAGTACAATGGAAAATATCTTGATTGAATAAAAAATCTCTCTTGACAAAAAATGATTTTATTGTTTTTGGAGGGGAGGAAGGTCGTGCGAATTTTCAAACCGGGCGTGCGAATTTGTGCGAATTACGTGCTAAATGTCTGCAGAAGAAAATTTGCGAAAATGTTAATTTGGATCTCCGGGGGGGCTGGCGAAACGTTTTGCCAGCCCCCCCCCATGAATTTTTGTTTTTCTAGGGGAAGGAAGGTCGTGCGAATTTTCAAACCAGGCGTGCGAATTCGTGCGAATTACGTGCTAAATGTCTGCAGAAGAAAATTTGCGAAAATGTTAATTTGGACCTCCGGGGGGGGCTGGCGAAACGTTTTGCCAGCCCCCCCCATGAATTTTTGTTTTTCTAGGGGAAGGAAGGTCGTGCGAATTTTCAAACCAGGCGTGCGAATTGGTGCGAATTACGTGCTAAATGTCTGCAGAAGAAAATTTGCGAAAATGTTAATTTGGACCTCCGGGGGGGCTGGCGAAACGTTTTGCCAGCCCCCCCATGAATTTTTGTTTTTCTAGGGGAAGGAAGGTCGTGCGAATTTTCAAACCAGGCGTGCGAATTCGTGCGAATTACGTGCTAAATATCTGCAAAAAAAAAATTGCGAAAATGTTGATTTAAACTATGGGGGGGGCTGGCAAGACGTGTTGCTGGCCCCCCCCATGGATTTTGATTTTTGAGGGGGAAGGAGAGTCGTGCGAATTTCAAAACTAGGCGTGCGAATACGTGCGAATTACGTGCTAAATATCTGCAAAAAAAAAATTGCGAAAATGTTGATTTAAACTATGGGGGGGGCTGGCAAGACGTGTTGCTGGCCCCCCCCCCATGGATTTTGATTTTTGAGGGGGAAGGAAGGTCGTGCGAATTATCAAACCAGGCGTGCGAATTCGTGCGAATTACGTGCTAAATATCTGTATAGTTTGTTTACAGTTTTTCCTTTGGGGGGGGGGGGGCTGGCCAAACGTACGTGCATACGCGCCAATAGTAACGCAGCACATAGTTCTAGTCTCGGTAATGATATCGTTTTTAACGGTGCGACCTTAGATTTGGCGCATATAAGTCTCACTGTATGTGTACCTACTTCGTCCGTACTACGTAAATACAAACATGCGCCATAAGCTTTTGTCGATGCATCAGCAAATCCATGAATTTGGATATTTATGATTTTATGTTTACTAATAATCATACGCGGAATTACTAGTTTATTTAGTCGCGGTAAACATTTTTTGTATTGTAGCCATTCGTCGGATACGTCTTTCGGTAATTGTTCGTCCCAGTTTACACGTAACTGCCATAAATTTTGCATAAATAATTTAGCTACTACTACCACTGGACCTACTAAACCGAGGGGGTCGAATATTGTAGCTATTTCGGACAGTATTTTTCGTTTGTTAATAATTTCCGTATTTTCAACGTATTCGCTTACTTTATACCGTAATACGTCGTCGCTCGGTTCCCAGAATAGGCCTAGTATTTTTGTTATCGCACAATCGAAAACACGCACGTCGTTACCCGCACCTTTGTCACCGACCGACATATTACTATTTATAATACTAGGGTCATTGGACGACCACTTCCGTAGCTCGAAACCCGCTTGCTCTAATATTGACAGTACTTCATGTTTTAACCTTATAGCTTCTTCTTTTGTTGACGCGCCACTCAAATAGTCATCCATATAAAAATCCCTTTTTATGGATTCACGTGCACGTAGGTAATCGTTTCCTGTCTCAGCCAATTTTTCTAAACAAGCTGTTGCTATGAAAGCTGCAGGTACTGTACCGTAAGTTAATGTGGTAAGACGATAAACTTGTATTGGCATTTTTGGATCGGCTCGCCACAATATCCGCTGATAGTTACAATCTTCTTTAGCTACTTTAATTTGTCGGTACATTTTTGTAATGTCAGCTGATAAGACATAATTATAGGTACGGAAACGCGCTAGTATGTATAATAGTTCGTCCTGCAAAACGGGCCCTTTTAATAATAAATCGTTCAAGCTGTTGCCAGATTCTGTCTTACAGGACGCGTCAAACACCACCCTCACCTTGGTCGTCGTACTATTTTCATTTATAACCGCGTGATGTGGCAAATAGCAACTCTTTTTATTTTCCTCGTCCTCTTTTTCAATTACCCGTTCCATATGGCCTAACGCTTCATATTCGTGCATAAATTGCGTATATGCTTCGCGTAGAGGTATATTATTTCGGAGTCTATTCTCGGTCGCCGCCCATCGCCGCCTTGCGATCTGATACGATTTTCCTAATGCGGACGAGTTATTTGTATTTTTAAACGGCAAACGGATAATAAAACGTCCGGTTTTGTCCCGTTGGACTGTTTTGTCAAAATGACTCCTACACATTTTTTCTTCTAATGTTAAAGGTGGGTCCGTCTCCAATTTTTCTATACGCCAAAACTTTGATACCAAATTTTCAAAATGCGTGTCATTTTCCACACACGCTGTCGTGTGTGTTACGCTACTTACGTTCTTGGTATCCTTACAGCTCTTTCTTAAGACCGGTCCAGCTACCACCCAGCCGAAACGTGTTTCCTGAAATATCGGTCCGGCCACGTGCTGTTTAATTTGGCCGGCACATATTATTTCGAAGAAATGTTTGTTCCCTAGTAACAAATCTATTTTTTGCGGACGTCTAAATAACGGGTCCGCGAGATTTATATCATTGGGAGCTACGCAATTTTCAACCTCATTATTAGGCATACAATGTGTGATCTTTTGTACCACTAGGCAGGTCAATATTAAATTGAAACTATTATATCGCGATGTAATTGAAACATTTACAGCCCGCGTAACAGGTTGTGTTATCCCACCGATACCCATTACTGTGTGCTGCACTTGATACCTTTTTAATCTTATATTTTGAACCATATTTTCGGTAATTAAATTACACTGTGAGCCGGAATCTAACAATATACGGCATTCGACGTTTTCACCGCTAGCATTGTGTATATGCACCACCGCTGTTGATAATAATACCTGTTCGTCATTTTGTACCAGCGTATGCGCACTTATTGATGACGATGCCGCCGACGTGCTCTCTTCTGCATTTTCAGTTGAATTTTTGTTACCTTGTTCTGCATTTTTAATTTGCGCTAAATGCAACAATGTATTATGCGGCTTCGAACACTTGAAGCAATATTTCGCAAAGCACTTTTTATTTTCGTGCTGACGTAAACAAATTTTACATAATTTTAATTCAGTTACTTTATTTATTCTCTCTTTTATCGGTAAAGCAATTAACGTTGGACATTTATAGATAGTGTGCGGCAACTGACACACGTAACACTTTAAACCCGCACTTATCATTAAAGACGAAAATTGATTATTATATTTGTTCGATTTGCCTTGCCCTGTCGATCCGTTACTAATAGCACCTCGCGTACTACTATGTACGTTTTTCGCTGATTCGATGGCTTCTAATATTTTAAATCGATTTTCCAGAAATTGCATTATCTCTGAAACTTCAGCAATCCTGTCTTTAGGGCTGCCCGCCTCCCACTCTTGTAACGTTTTTTTGTCTAATTTGGTACTAATTAAGTGCATTAATAACGGCCCCCAACTTTCCGGTTCTTGCTCTAACGCCTCTAGAGCTCGCATGTGACCTGACAACGCATCGAAAAAATACCTAAGTTTTATTGCCGAGTCACTCTGCAGCGCATCCAAATCAAATTGTTACATGCGGCCCTTCAGGGATCCAAAAGCTGGTGTACTTGATAAATAATAATAGTCAATTAGAATGGTAATCAAATGTATTATATTAAACCAGACAAAACAAGCAGAATAATAGTGTTGATTGTAGTGAATTTGTAGTTCGTTCCGAAGTTGATAATCTCCGTGTAAGTCGTGTGAAATGGCTGGGCGGCTAGCGAGTCGTGTGGTGTTCTCGTCTCTGGATACATCTAACTCAGGCTGTCTCGCTGTCCCCTATATATATGGTGGCGGCGTCCTTTGAAAGTGAGCGGCGCGTGTACAGTCGCCCTTGATATGGACCTCACGATTATGAAAGTGGTATTCGTAGTCGAAAACACTTTTGGGTGTGGTCGCATTCCTGGTTGTTATTATGAGCAAAATATATGGTATTGCGTAATCCCATTACACCTCCCTACCAAAAAAAAGATTGTTAACCTTTAAGGGTTAAGAATCTTTAACATCGTTAATTAATAGTTTACAATGGCTGAATTACATTGTTTACATTGACATTTTAAATTTGTATGCAGTTAACAATTTGATTATAGTATTACATTTGATTACAATAATGTGAGCATTTTACAATTTTAATGTCATCATTATTATTATTATTGTTTACGATTTTAATTGTGGTTAGTAAAATAAATTAATACATGATTTAATTAACAATTAGTGTTAATAAAAATGATTAATAATCTTTAATAAAATAATATAGGTACCTGAAATTATAACATTATAAGCGTTACGTAAGTATACAATTTAAGTATTTCCCCTTTTATAATAATAATAATATTTATCCTTCACCTATATACTAATTTATGTGAATAATTGTTAAATTTGTCACAGACATATGCAACTATGGTTCTATTCAAGATAATTCATCATGTAAGTTGGATCTCTAGTGTTTTCTATTATTTTTACTAATTGTTTGCATTCTCCATTACAATGATCATCTATGAAAAGTTCAAGGCTTCTAGTTATTTTATTTAAAGTTCTATGATCGTAGTGGTTATTTATTTTCTTGTTTGCCTTTAATATATGCCAATTAAAGCATACGGATTGTAATTTATTTTCTTTAACGTTATAAATATGTACTTCTGTTTTTAAAATTGTTTTTAGCTCCTCAATGAATCTAAAATATATAATAAATGTTAATTTATGTATTTGTTTATTTAATTTATTTTGTGTTATATTTATTTATTAACTAATAATTATTATTTATTTGCCTTAAAATTCCTTTTATATTTTTTTGCTAATTTATATAATTTAATAGGCTTTATCTTTGTTACTATGTAATTGAATAGGCATTTTGTTAAAATTACGTCTGCAACTGGATCGTGACAATGTGTAATATTATGATTAATATCGCATGCTAGTTCATGAGCTTCTGATAGTCCTAACATTCTACCATTTTTATTTAATTTACCTAAATAACCTGAATATAAAACTTCCTTAGTCTCTAGGTTTGATAATTCTAATACAAATTCGTCATTATTCCTAACGCTAATTGCCGATATATTTAAATATGCTAAAATTCCTGTTAATCTTAAACGCTTAATTATCGTGATATCTGTCGTTCCGTTCCAAAATACTATTAGTGGCTCCCTATCGTTTATGTGCAAATATCTTTGCAAGTATACCGTAGACAAGGTTGATTCCCCCTGGCGACTTATACTGTTGTACAACTGTTCCAGCAATGGTTCAATCACTCTTGCCTTTTTCCCTCGGAATACTCGTTTGATATTCTGCACTGTTTTCTTTAGGTCGCATCGGCGGAATCTTCTTAACTTATCATCCTTTGTAAGTATAAGAGGACTCCCCTCCAATTTCTTGGGTTGGTATTTTTCTAAACTATTCGATATCGCGCCGGATACCAGTATCGTTTCGTTCTTACTGACGGTAAAGAACTCGAAATCCATTATAAAAAAGCGTACCTGTGAGCTAAAATAAAATAATTATTTTTCTTTAAAAACAACTTAAATTGGTTTTTTGTATTTATAACTATGTATTTGATATTTGATATATGATACATGATATATGATATTGATATACGATATAGTTTCCTGATTTATTCTTCGAAAATCGTTTCAATGATTTCGCGTCGTCGGATTAGTTGTTCTATCAGTAAACCCAACTCTACGCACATTGGTCGATTATGATTTGGTCTTAAGATAACTGTGCGTACAAAATCGTTAACATGGATCATGACCCGTGCTAAGAAATTCGGCCTGAAAGGTATGGTCATATTACTATTTGCCCTTCTTATATGTTCTGGGAAACAATGTAATCTGATCACTTCCCCTCGCATTATTTGTGTATGATTGGTTGATTCAATTAATTCGTTTTTTAACTCTCTGAGAAACTCAAATGTTTGTAGTTGCATTCGAACGGTTCGTGCTACAGGTGGTATGTTTTCACCCATTTTGTACTTAAAAATTTTTACGTTTGTTTTTATATATATTTTTTGTTTTCTTCTTAATTTCTGAAATAGTTAAAAGTTATAAGTATTATTTAGAATATTATTTACGTATATGTATATATTATTGCACGTAATATTATTTATTTAAATTATAGGATATTATTTACGTATTATTTCTTTATGCACGTATTATATTTTATTATTATTTTATTTTATATTTTGTTTTGTTTAATTTATTTATCGAATATGTTCTTCACTGTAAATTTGGTGTTGAATATAATATTGATCTAATATTTCTGCGATTTTCAAACACATTGAATTACAGGCTGGTTCGCGGTTACATCTAGTACAAAAGAAGGCTGTTAACGGATCCATAACATTTTCAAGTTCAGTTTCGTTAAAAGGTATTTGCATATTATTATTTGCGTCTATTACGTGTTGTCTAAAACAACGTACATATATTGTGTTCCTTAGTACCAATTGATTATGTGTATCGTTTATTAACCTATCCCTTAGTTCCTTATAAAAAACATTAGGCTCAGGCATTGGTGTGGGTTTTATGTACTTTATTATATTTATTTTGAAATCCTTCTTGTTTGTTTCCTGAAACATAATTATATATATAGTATTTCTCTAATAGTTTACATATACCTAGCTCTTATTTATTTATTAAATTAATTGTTTACCTCTATTTTAATTATTATTATTTCTATATTATTACTATTTTTCTAACTTATATTTTATTATATTTTTTTTTTATTGTTATTATTTGTTTTATTAATTAACTTATTATCTTGGTGAAGGGGGTGGAGTAAAGGGTGTTTCTTCATAATTTCGTATGTAGTCATTTCTATTGGGTGCCCTATATCTAACTATTCTGCCGGGAAATTCCATGACTTCTGTGGACCTGATGTACTTGCATTTTATCATTATGTAGATTGCTATTATTAGTATAATAGATATTACTGCCAGTATTATTGTTACATATAGTAAATTACTGTGTACAAATTGATGCTTTTGATTTTGTTCTCTTGAAAGTTCTTGGTTAATCATTTGTTGTACTTCGTCTAAAGATTTGGATGCATCGTGTAAATCTGTGAATTGCATAGCTAGTCCCTTTTCCCACTTTTCATCTGTTTCGAATTTGTGTATATGTTCGGGTATTTTTTCTAAAATATTATTCATGTTAGTTACAGGTGTAAAGTCTTTATATTTTGTAATTTGGATTTCTTCCGTGGCAGTTAATACTGCGTCTCGTGCAAATACTTGACAACTAATGTCGTTTATAGCTATTTCTCCTGCTTCATTTGTTTGTATTATAAATGAGTCTATTAAGTTCGCGCAACTTACAGTTAAAGTCTCTTTTCCTGCGTGAATCCATGTATTTTTTCTTTTTAATTTTTGGTATATGCTTCTTTTTAAATTTATTTTCTTTACTGTACATAACTCAGGATTAGCATACGTGTCAGCTTTATAAAAGTTTTGTACTTCGCATGGTTGGCGTTCATTGTTGTCCTGTATAGGTTGTGGTGTATTACATATTTTGTATATTGATGTTTCTTTACATTCGTTTAATTGTTGATCTGTGTATGTAGTAAATTTTTTATAGCCTTTGGTTACAGCAATATTATTATAAGTAATGTCCATCATGTACCATCCACTAGAATTATCTTGGTTATGACGCATTGGTACTGGTGTTAACCTGTATAATGTGAGTTCAGTGTCAATAATTAGTGGTATTACTATATCGAATACTAATCTGTCGTTTGAATAGTAGATTCTTATTTTTGTAATTTTTTGAAATTCATTTATTTCATATCTCTTTGTTCCCATCGGAATACTGTATATTTTCTTTATGTTTTGTTCTATTGCTTTTAATGTTGATGCTAATTCTTGCGGTGTCATAAGACTTGGATGTATCATACCTTCTCTAGCGGCAGTTACTATTTGTCCCAATATTTCTGTTTCGTAGGAATATTGATTAATAATTATTGTATATAAATTATGTATTTCATTTTTCATTAGTAAGTCTAATATATCATTTGTTTTGTTTTGTATTTTTGACATTTTTTCGTTTAGTTTTTGTTCCTTTTCCGTAATATTATTGTATAATTGTTCGGTTTGATTTATTGTGTTACCAATACTTCTTATTGTTGTTTTTACTACAGTAGTTTGAGCTGCCATTATGTGTAATATATTAGTTCCTGATTCTTCCGTTTTTTGTATAGCTTCTTGTGTTTTCTTAGTGCACTTGTCATCACATATGCCAAATAACGTATGCATGGTGTTACCTATTATGTTTATTAATCCCCTTTTCTTTCTGTTGTTTTTAATGTCCTCCATAGTACTTCCTAGCGACATATATGTACGTTCTTTCTGTTTAGTTATTTCGTTATATAAGTCTGTAATTACTAATTGATATTTCCCACATAAATCTTGATGTTTTTGGTCAGTACATAAATTTGTTATATTTTTAATTTTTTCCCCCAATAGTTCATATTTCGTGTTATATTCCTTTAATGAGTAAAACATTAAAAGATTGTATTGAGCCCCTATTAATCTAACTGGCCCCAACCCTTCATATTGTATACCCCTGCCAACTCCATAAGGCGTATACGAAAAGTACTCTGATGTATTTATTTCGTCAGATTCAATAATATTGACTAGAAAACTCGTCACCATCACCAATCTAAAAGTACAAAGTATATTTATATTAAACTAACTGTCTTATTATATTTTTATAAAATTAATACCATCTTATATAATCTAAAATATCTCTAGCATCATGTAAGAGTTTTATATAATCTATTAACCGTTTACACAAAGTATTTGTGTGTGTTACCGAATCTGATGACAAATCGTACATAATTAATGTTATAATTTGCGTAATTTTTGTTATTTCAAGAGTACCAAATGGTTCCTCCATAAAATTATTTGCTGTATTAATATGTCCTATTAGACACCTCGGTGTGTGTTCCGGTCCTAAAGTATATGTTTCGTGTATTTCTTGTTCGATTGCCATTTTTAGTTCCTCAATGAATTTCCTTTGTCTGTCCCTAAAATTAAAATTTATATATTTTTTTTTTTTTATCGTAATTATTTTTTGCTTTTATTTTTATTGTATATTTTTTTTGATTAGATTTATTATTCAAGAAAGCATGGAGCCCACTTCTGACACCACTCGGATATATGTCATTCGAAACCGTGCGTATATATTTTTTTTGTTTTTGCTTAAGGATTTATTTAATTATTATTATTTTTTTTTTTTAAAATTGTTTTTATTAGCTCGAGGGCCGGACATAATTATGGAAATTGAGTGGCCGGAGGGGTTTACTCCTTTGCCGCAACATATCGTGTCAAGAATATTAATTTCGGATGACGAGGAAGACGATTCCGAATAATAATAAAAAACTTGTTTATTAAATTAAATTTATTTTCATGATGTTAACTATCATGTATATTTTTGTTTAATAAATTAGTTTTTATCTATATCTGAATCCATTTTATTACATTCGTTATTAATTATTTTCTGAGAATAAGTTTCTGTAATAAAGTAGGTCCTCTGGCTCTGGTATAACGTCGATAAATTCAATTAGGTCCTGACAATTAATTTTTTCCAGATTTTCTATTCTATTTTCTGTCATAACATACAGAAACCCTTTTATGTTACGTGTGATCTCACTTATATCCGCTTCGGTGTACGGTTCGGTTAATTTATTATTTGCTATGGTTATGTGTTCTATAAAACATTTCGGAAATTTTTCTATGCCTAAATTGGTTGTATCGTGGTTTCCATTTACTATTGCTTCTTCCAGTTTCAAAATGAATGTTCTGTTTCTATTCCTAAAATTAACATAATTATTCTAACTTAATGTTTGCTATATACTTATTACTATTATTTTTTTTATTATTTTTTATTATTGCTATTTTTTTTTTTAATCGACTTGTGCGTCATTATAATATTTTTTTACGTTATTTCTATGTACAGTGATGACCTTGCGGCCTCGCTGTATAGCTACATTCTCGTTCCCTATAACTGCTGTGACCTCGTACGGTCCTAGCCAGATTGGATCGAGTTTCGTTCTATGATTATTATCTTTTAATAATATTAAATCATTAACGTGTAGTTCTTGTGGATTTTCATTTTTATCATAACGTTCTTTACTTTTTATTTTATTTTTAATTAAATGATCTCTAGCTATTTTATGCGAAATTTGCATATTTTCTTTTAGATCGAATATATAATCATCATAATTGTAACGTGGTTCAGGTTCGGCTTTTAATCTAATCGGTACCTCCAACGTACGTCCATAGACTAATGCGTATGGTTGAAAATTAGTAGAAGTATGTACCGTTGAATTATATACAAAGAATGCAAAGGGTAGTAAATGGTCCCAATTATTTAAATTCTTATCTACATAATGTCTTAAGTACTCGGCTAAGGTCCTATGAGCGCGTTCTACGGGGTTACCCTGCGGTCTGAATGGACTTGTGTTAACCTTTTCTATCTTTAATATTTTACAAACATTTGCAAACGTTTTCGAGAGGAAATTAGTTCCTTGATCCGTGAGTATTGTTTCTGGTATGCCGTGTACACAAACGAAGTGTGTAACAAAGGCTTCCGCAACAGTATTTGCCTTCTGGTCAGGAAGTGGAATTCCTAAAGTGTAACGTGTCAAATCGTCCTCCATCGTTAAAATGTATACATTATTGGACAGTGTAATCGGCAAGGGCCCTACTATATCCATAAATATTTTTTCGAATGGTTTAGACGAGGTGGATGTAATAGCCATTGGTTGTTTTATGTGTCGATTTGATACCTTATTAACCTGACATGACGTACAATTCCTTATATATTTTTTAACATCTTCTTTCATTCCCCTCCATATAAATTGTTTTTTTATACGTTTAGTAGTTTTATTCACACCTAAATGTCCGCCTAGTTTTGAGTCGTGAAATTGTGATAAAATGACTGCTTTTTCTTCTTCACTATATTCTACATTTGCACATATAATTATTTCTATATTTGTTTCGCGAAATATGTATCGCAACATTGACCTTATTTTTTCCCATTCTAAATCGTCGTGATCGCCTAGCTTGCCCATGGCTAATTTATTCAAATTGTTTTCTTTACAAAATAATTTTAAATTTATTAACGATATATATATATTTTCGTAAGTTGCCCTTTGGCGTTCTTTGTTTTTTGTTACTAAGAATATTATAAACCGGTTTTCATGTTTGAAATATGGTGTGTCCCCTATTACTTTACTAGTCGGTAATATTATACCGTTTCCAAATTGTTTTTTTAACTGATAATTTATTCCTGTTCTGAAATTATATTGCTTGGCAATTTCTGACACTATATTATATTCGTTTGGTGAATCTATTACTGTGCCTATAGTTTCTTTTACATTACTATTTGTTATAATTTGTGTTTCTAATTTTTCGAGAAAATTTTCATATGATTCGTTTTTTATTTCCTGTATAGAGTACATGCGTGTGAGTGCATCTACATTTGAATTTGATACTCCGGGTTTGTAACGTATTTCGTAATCATACTCCTCTAATTGTATTCTCCATCTAGCTAACTTTGATAATGGATTTTTTAAATTAAAGAGCCACGTTAATGGACGATGGTCACTAAGTATTATAAACTTCCTACCGTATAAATATGGTCGAAACTGTTTAACTCCGAATATTATTGCAAGACATTCTAATTCTGTTGTTGAATAATTGCTTTCGCTTTTATTTAATGTGCGCGACGCATAACATATTGGCAAATCTTTACCTATTTCTCCTTGAGACAAAATAGCTCCGAGTGCTTTATTACTCGCGTCTGTAGTTAATAAGAAGGTTTTTGTGAAATCCGGATATTTTAAAACTGGTTCTGAGCATAACGCTGCCTTCAAGGTATCGAATGACTTTTGGCATTCGTTACTCCATACGAAACTCGTGTCTTTCTTTAATAAATTGGTTAGTGGTTTTGCTATTGCGCTATATGAATTTATGAATTTCCTATAATAACCACTTAATCCTAAAAATGATTTAATGTTTTTTACGGTTGTTGGTATTGGAAATTCCACTACTGCTTTTAATTTACGTTCGTCGGGTTTTATTCCGTCTTTCGTAATAACGTGTCCTAGATATACACATTCTCTTTTTAAGAAGTTGCATTTATCTGGTTGTAATTTTAAATTGCTTATTTGTAAACGCTCGAAAACTTCTATTAATTTTTCGTTATGATCATATAAATTTTTTCCATATACTATTATATCGTCTAAATATACTAAGCATTTTATTCCTATTAAACCTGCCAGAGCTGAATTCATAACTCTTTGGAAGGTTCCGGGACTCGTTTTCATTCCCTGTATCATTCGTTTGAAATGCCAGTGACCTTGGTTAGTCGAAAAGGCTGTTAACTCTCGTGAGTCTTCTTCCATCAAAATTTGGTAAAAACCACTCGATAAATCTAATAGAGAGAACAATTGACTATTTCCTAGTTGATCTAGTATTTCTGTAATATTTGGTAAAGGGTGAAATTCATTTATAGTAGCTTCGTTAAGTGCCCTAAAGTCTACTACTACTCTAAACTTTTGTTTTCCTGAATTGTCCATTTTCTTTTGTACTAATAATAGTGGGGAATTCCATGGACTTCTCGATTTCTCGATAATTCCATTTTCTTCCATTTTTTGAATTTGTGAATTTATTTCCTCCTGTTGTGCGTGTGGTAATCTATAAGGTCTACGATAGATAGGTGGCTGATCCTTTTTTAACTTAATAGAATGTGTACCGACATTGGTGAATGTTAAAACATCCCCTTCCAAATGAAATATGTTATTATATCGTTCGCATATTTCGTAAATAGATTGTTTTTCAATTTCGTCCATATGGTCAGTTATTATTACTTGTTTCAAACGTTCTATTCGTTCTTTATGATCATTTGTCGATTCTACATTATATATTTCGTATTCAGTATCAAAGAGTATTTTATTTAAATCAAATTCAGATATATTTTTCGTTTCTTCCGAGATATTTAACATGCTAACTATTGCCCTACCATTATTAACGATTGATACTGTACTACTGCAATATACGTCTTTTACTAGTTCTTGCTTATGTATAAATATTTCTTTGCTTTCTATGAGTGGGTCAGCTATCTGTATTCCTACAATAGTTTCAGTCCGCGGATTTAATTTAATAAAACTGGTTTTGTCGGTCTCCTTGAAATTTGTTAGCGCATGCGAGGTCGTTTGAATAATTAATTTGTTGTTTGCTACATCGACTATTGCGTTATTTTTTGACAAGAACTCGTTTCCTAATATTCCGTCCTTGGGTATTGGAAATCGTGCACTTACGATATGAAATTCTGTTTTAATGTTTTCGCTATTTAATTTAATTAATATTGATATTTTCCCTATGGTTTTTGTAAGACATTCATTTATACCGCGTAGATTTATTTTTTGCGTTTCGTCTACTTCTAGTTCTTCGCGTAAGCAATTTATTTTGAGAATATTTACCTGACTACCTGTATCTATCATTAAATGTAATTGATTAGTTTTTGCGGCATTAGAATCGAATGTTATATGATTGTTTTCTAGTTTTGCGAATATGTGAAATATTCGTTCGTCGGTTGTTCCGCGATAATCTGGTTTATCGTGCGAGTACCGCGTACCTCGTTCGACACGTTGGCGTTTCCCGAATTATTTCTACTTCCGTCGTTTCTCTTTTTGTAACATGAATCTACGTTATGACCGATTTTATTGCAATATGAACACGTAACTGGTTGTGCATTATAATTTGTTGGCGGTTGCGTAAAATTATTTCTATTAGGTGGACGGTTGTTATTTCCGTTGCTCGCGTAGTTAGGTCTCGAATTATTTCTACATTGTGATGCAAAATGATTTCCATTGCAGTTATAACATTTTATTGGTGGTCTATTAATTGGTTGAGAGAAATTGTTTGCTCGTGGATTATTATTTTGCGCAAAATTATTCGGCCTTACAAAGTTATTTGGTCTTACGTTCCTGTTGTTCCTATTTTCATAATTTGGTCTACGTTGATTATTGTTTTGCGAATAACTACTCGAATAATGATTCCTATTTTCCTGTTCTAATCTTAATTCTACCTGTTCTGACATAGCGATTTGTTTCGCGATTTCAAGAGTTTTAGCATTACGAGATTTTACTATCGTTCTAATCGGTTCTACTAATCCTTTAATGAATACTGCTAGAGTTTGGTCCCTTAATGTTTCATGTATAATTTTTGCTTCTGCAGCCTCTTTGTTTAACGTGCTTACGGTACATAATTGATAATATAGTTTTTCTACTCTATGGCAATAATCGTTCACATCCTCATTGTGATTCATTCTAATCGAATTTAATTGAAGTTGTAACGTCGATGCATTGGTTGTTACTTCGAATGCGTCTGTTAAATATGCTTTTATGAATTGCCATTTTGTTACGTTTTTATATTTAATCATTTCTAACGCTCTACCCGTTAATCGCGTAGTGATATATTTTACTAATATTGGTGCGCTAGTTGCGTCGACTAAACCTACTGCCATATCACATGCATTTATAAATTGGTAAATATCGTCTATCCCTGTGCATACTGGAATTAATTTAAAAGCGTCTTCTAATTTTATGGTTACTGCCATTTTTTTATTGCGTGATTTAGATATAAAATCTAACGACTGATGTTCAAAACTTTCTGTGACTTTGCTACGTGTGACTACTCCTAATTGTGGACTTGGGGTTTTACTTGTGCTACCTAATAATTGGGTATCTACTATAGTATTTAACTGGGCTTTCTGCTGGGCTTCAAACTGGGCTTGGGCTTCTCTGTGGGCTAATAACTGGGCTTCTAACTGGGCTTCTTCTGCTACACTAGTGTCATACAATGAATTAGCTACGTTCAAGGGAGATGTATCTTCTTTGTCCATAAATTAACTTAACCACCTATTTAATACGTTAATAATCATAATAATACTCAATAAATTCAATAATGCCCTATAAATACAATAATAACTTCAATAATATGCCCTCTAATAAATTCAATAAACTTCAATAATACTTCAATAATAAAAATGCCCTCAATAAATCAATAAACTTCAATAATAATCAATAATAACTTCAATAAAAATATGCCCTCGATAATAAAACTTCAAATAATCAATATGCCCTCAATAAAATTCAATAATAATCAATAAATATGCCCTCAATAAAATTTAAAACGGTTTACACCATTACACTTATAATCAACTACCTAGATTTATCTTAATATGTCTTAATTATGTTGCATACGTCTATGTAACAAATTTAAATAACTATTCACTCACAATAATGCTGCGTTCATGGCTGATGATGACATGTTGCCGTTGATGATGCTGCTAATGGATTTGTTGGTACTGCAATGTGACTTATTTGTTTTTTTTTGTTGGTTCCTCCTGGAGTTGTCTTCGCTGAAGAGTGATCAATTCCTCGTTGTTGACAGTAGCCTTTGATGGTTGCCTCCTTTTGGAATCCTAACCGATCTGCGCCAGTGTTACATGCGGCCCTTCAGGGATCCAAAAGCTGGTGTACTTGATAAATAATAATAGTCAATTAGAATGGTAATCAAATGTATTATATTAAACCAGACAAAACAAGCAGAATAATAGTGTTGATTGTAGTGAATTTGTAGTTCGTTCCGAAGTTGATAATCTCCGTGTAAGTCGTGTGAAATGGCTGGGCGGCTAGCGAGTCGTGTGGTGTTCTCGTCTCTGGATACATCTAACTCAGGCTGTCTCGCTGTCCCCTATATATATGGTGGCGGCGTCCTTTGAAAGTGAGCGGCGCGTGTACAGTCGCCCTTGATATGGACCTCACGATTATGAAAGTGGTATTCGTAGTCGAAAACACTTTTGGGTGTGGTCGCATTCCTGGTTGTTATTATGAGCAAAATATATGGTATTGCGTAATCCCATTACAAAATATTGCCCGCACATGAGCTTGAATTCGCACTTTTTTATTATTATACCTAGCACACAGAATGCTCCACGCTTTTTCATAATTATTTGCTGTGGTCTCCAAACTTCTTATCGAGTTCAACGCCTCTCCTGATAGCGCTTCGCGCAAATGAAAAAACTTCGATACGGGCAATAGGTCCGGGTGTGTATGTACCAATGCCGTAAATGTATCATAAAACGACGCCCATTCTAAATAATCCCCATTAAAAACAGGTACTTTTAATGCTGCTAATTTCACTTGAGGCGCCATACTGTTTCTCCCTGTACTTCTTTCGCTCGCTATCGCCATACTTCCTCGTTCAGAGGTAGTCTCCTTTACCATTCCTAGTGATACAATTTTATTTGCTTCTACTATAGCCTTAAAGTATAGATCTTCGAACTCCTTACGATACGCCGTGCTTTCGTTTAAATTCTCCGTCAATTCAAGTGCCGTTTGAATTTGGTCAAATTCATGCCAAACTTCTTCGATTTTTTCCCTTCTTAATGATACTTGATTTGGATCCAATTCTTCACTTTGTAGGTAAGTCAAGAATCTCGTAACCGTGCCTTTTAATTGGCCGCGTCTTATCGTGAGATTTCTCTCGTCAGCCGCCATATCAATTATTCTCGCGTTACTATTTCGGCTGAATATAATATATATTATATCTCACTTATTACGTTAAACCTGTTGGCGTTATCTGCGTTTATTCGACCTGCTTCACATACTACGTACAAGCTTTTTTTTTTTTTACTCACTAGGGGAAACCCAAGGAAATTTTACACAGGAATTATTTTTAATCAGAGACTCTTACCTTTATGCCAGACGTTGTAAGACAATTTTTCTCGAGAGGCCCAGCTATTGCTCGGGAAATTCGATCGTCGCTGAGGTTATTGATTTGCCCCTTTTTCGCCATACACCATATAAGCTGTAGTACTGTACTTGCCAGCTGCCTGCACGCCCCTATGGATGTATTGTATATTGTTTTCTTGATTTTCGAAATATACGAATATCCGATTTATTTTGATCGCAAAAGCCACGTAACAATTTTACCACGCATATGCGACGCACAATTTTATTTAATCCGCAGTTACTTTGTAACTTTAACTCTCGCACTATACTCGATTAACGCCTCAATACGAATTACGCTTTCCTAATCAACACTGAATATCCGGGTCGATGGACCAAATGTTGCGGAGTGGACTGTAACTTTCCGATACTGGTTACTTCGGATACTCAGCTGGTTGATTAGGCTATTATTTTAAATTAATAACTTATACGCAATTGAGCAAATAGAATATTAAATTATTTTATTTTCACTATAATACGGAGCCGACATGTCCCGTTCGCTCTTTTTCGACGACTGCTAAATTAATACCATACAAAATTGATCGAGGGCAAACCCGTCGGCCTCACTAGCCGATAACAATATTATCATTCCGATTATTATAGATATTCGATAGTCGATAACATTTCAACCGATACGTGACACCGTACATGATAACATTTTCAAAATATTTTGACTTTTTTTGAGATATTTATATGCATAAAAAAATTTAGATAGTTTTAATTACCTAGTTGTTATCTGTAAAAACTTTTTCAGTGTCAAAAAATTTGAAAATGTAATAAAGGTTCCTCATAAGTTGTTATTTGTGTAATTGAAAAAATAGTTAAGCCTAAATTCACAATACATTATTACGAGCGTCTAAAGTTGTAATTTTGACAAAATAACGAACTTATGCAAATTATTTTCAGTTCGAAATTCATTATAATTTTTTTATATTATATATAAATTTTTTTATATTTAAGATTTGAAAGTTGAATACAACATTCCTCATAAGTTTTTCTACTTTTAACAAAAATAAAAAATTTACTGGGAAGTCAAATTCATTTTTTGTGATTGTTTGAAGTTTTTTTGGCATTGGTTACCCTTAAACTAGGTAACTGTTTCTCATGCAACTTATTTTGTTGTAAAATAATAATAAAAAAAATGTAGACTCTTGACATTTTTATCATATGTTTATACTAGCTATTTTTATATCTATATATCTGAAACTTAAATATCTATATATAAATAAAATAAAATGTATTTTTTCGAATGAAAGAACTCTTGAACTACCAGTCCTATTAATTTAAAACTAGAAGAAATATATCCTAAAAAAAAGAATACATTTTCCTTAAAATGCTCGATGTATCCCATAAAATACATAAAAAATATCATACTAAATATCAAATATTAATATTTCACAGAATACCATACATTTATGTTTTAACTCTTTAAATTTCCTATGCGATGCAAGATATATTCTAGAAAAGCATAATCTCCAATAAAATATTAGACAATTCTCATTAAAAATCTATGATATTTCCCATTAAATACATGAAATTGTACATTAAAAGGAAGATATTTCCCATTAGAGGCTTGACATTTCACCAGAATATTATTAATTTCCCATTATATAGTTGTCAATTGTTATTCAATCTATGACTTTTTAATTTGTAGATACCTACCCCAAAACTTAAAAAAATATTAATCTTAATAAAGATATATAGATACTACAAAGTACAAACCATCTGAAAACAAAGCAATCCAAATAGTCACCTAAGCTTCCTCAAGTATCCTCTGAACCTTATTTAATTATAAGAATTACATTTTATAACATAATAACATAATAATATTATGTACCTAGGTATATATGTTGTTTTTAATAGTTTTTGTATTGGCAATTAGTGTGGTTATGTATAAAATAAGATATAACTATTTGTACAATAGTACAACATTGAATGGATCGTCATACCATCGATATATCTTAGTATAAACCAAATTATCAGCCAACTAGGTATTTAGGATGATACCCAGGTGTAGGATTAAGTAGTATTAATTATTATTATTTGTATTATTTTTACCTGTATTTAGGAGTAACAAAATGTTAATTCATCATAATTTTCACGAAAATTATAAAGTGTTGTAATGGCCGGGTACGAACAATAATAGGCCGTGTCGCCAAAATACTCCTTGCGCCGTTACACCACTACTCACCGACCGACCTGTTCAACAAGAATTGGACAGGTTTGCTGAGTAAAACCTGTGAGTACTATTTGTGGAGGTGTGGTGCGTGCTTAACTAATTGAGTTGCTGTATAATTGACAATTTTAATAATATTGATAATACACAATAGTATAATATATAATGATAGGTACTACAGCGGTACAAATGTATAAATTATAATAATAAACGGCGCTGCTGGCATCAGACCGATAATACAAATAATATTAATAAAAATATACATAAAAAAGAAACTTACAAATATGACGGTGCTCGGCTGGCCAGCTGCTACCTATCCTATGGTTTTAATAATAATAATGACACACGAGACATAACACATCCAATGTGTCGTAACAATACCTAATTAAATCACAATAATAACGCCTGCGATTCTCGCCTGATCAAAAACAGTATTAATATAACGCTGGCGATTTGCGCCACGATAACTACAATATAAATAACGATGGTGTTAGGGCCTTACAAATACAATACAATTTTTTTACGGCGATTCGCGCCTATAATACAGTACACAATTTTACGGCGATTCGCTCACGTAATGGTCACTTATTCCTAGTAGGCACTATATGGAACGGACTGAAGCACCCCGGCGGCCGGCGGTCTATGCTGGACGATGCCTAATCTACATAATATTATATAATAATCTTAAAAATAATTAATAAATATAACGACCATGTGCGTGTGAGTATGTGTGTCTGGTGGTCGGAGGTGGTGATATCATAATTTATTGCCGATGCGACGGCTACACATAATACAGATCTTTAGTGCTCGAAGTAAATTTGTGAAATTCTATTAAAATTCTTCCCAAAGGTATATACTATACAATTAAATAATAAACATTTAGTGACGTTTTTTTTTTAATATTGTCCGAGCGTGAGACTCTAAATTTATATTTTTCCAGAATTTATTTGAAAGGTTTGAAAGCTGAGTATTATGTTCAAGTGATTTTATGACGTCTATAAATCAGTATTTATATGTTATTTTTTATTTTTTTTTGCTGAAAAATCAAAACTAAAAGCCTACATATGTGTGAACTAGCTAGAATAAATTTTTTTAATCTTCAAAAATATTGTTTCTTATTTTTTTCTATATGCGTCAATGTTTGTTCTCAAAATTAGTTTTTATTTTCAGATTGTTAAGTTCATGATACATGAATCACCTTTTTCAAACGTCATAATATACCTACATAATAGCTTTAAAATGCAAATATATATGTTGCAGCATGAGGTTAAAGAACTCAGGCACTCAGCTATAGATTAGCGAAGTTTTTTTGCAATAAATTATAATAATATTAAAATATTAAAATATTTAGGAAAAACTCTCATTAAAAAGGCGATCGTCTGACTCGAAGACTTGCTGTACATTATACTCCCTGTGGCTTATGCGCGCTACAACATATATGTATTAAAGTTCGCGTTTATCGAGGCGGCGTGCAATTACATATAATATTATACCTACGTATCTCGGACTTCAATCAGGTTCGAGCGTGACGGCCGCGATAATGAAATTCTGCCACGCGGCTCGATGGCTACGTCAAGGTCGATAGGGGCTACTTAGCGTTGGGTGAGGTAGGGTTTGAAATAGGGGTGGCCGCGAGGACGCGATTCCGACGATTATTATTAATATTATATTGTTATTGTTGTTCACTCGCGCCCGCTCGGGAAATTTACATTTTTCCCGACGATCACCCGGCACAGCACGCGGTGTATTGTATTATGCGCCTTATTATATACCGTAGTATCGTTATCGATGAACATTATCGTAAAATAATAATAGTTCGACCACGTTTTGTTATATACATGTATTTTTAAATATTATTGTAGATGTACTCCCTTACTTGTATTATATATGTATATAAAATATATTTAATAACATGTTGGGTCTTGGCCCTTGAGATACCGTCAACGGCGGGCGAATGAGGGGAATAATCGACGAGTATACGTCGCGTGCGTATACAGACCGTCGCGTCTTTCATCACTGCTTATATTATCACTCCTACGGTATAGTACCTATATACGCTGTTTACGAAAAATATTTGTAATATTGTAGTAGACACCTCACACCCTGTTTATATGCTGGTAATATTATTCATACAAATAAGAGAGTTTTCGGCTAATTCGCCGCCATCATCATTGTGTTCCGTGTGAAACGGCTATTATTACGTCGGGTAGGGGTGAACACGGCAAGTGGTCGGTTGCGCACGGCGCGGTGGAGGGTGCCGCGCTCGGTCTTTGCCCCGGCGCATGGACGTTTTTCATTTCTTTCTTTCTTCCTTTCATTCGTCGTCGTCGTCATAGTCGTCATAGTCGTCACGCACAGTTCACGGTGGTCCGCGTACTACCATCGGCTGCTATACGAAATTCATATATTTATCACAATACATACGACTGCGACCGCGGTATATATATTTATATACCGGTAAAGAATACTACACCAACAGCTATACCATGGTACCGTTGAATCAGGCACGGGCGTCCGCCGTGGGACGTCGAAACCGGATCCGAGGGCCATCACTGCTGTTGGCTGCCTACGCGTGTGTCTGCATCTGGGGCAGCCAAGTCCAGTCACAGAGAGCCGGCGGTGGCAACCGGGATGCTCCGGTTGTCAACATCCCCAGGCAAGGCGCCGTTTCCGGTGTTGAGGTGCAGCTCAACAAGATCGGAAACAGGGCCTGGACGTATCTGGGCATACCGTTCGCCAAGCCCCCCATCGGCAACCTACGGTTCGCACCGCCTGATGTCGATCCTCCACCCACATGGAGCGGTGTTCTCGTTGGGTCTGCACACAAGCCAGCCTGCATCCCGGACCCGCCAGTACGGTCACATCCCGTCCATCGGCTGTTCTCCACCGTCACCCCAGGTCCTGTCAAGATTTCTGAAGACTGCCTGTACCTGAACGTTTATAGACCCGAAGGTAATGAGTTCGTTAGTCATTAGTCTCCTACATGGGTGAGAACCATTTTTACCAAAATTGTAACCTTCAATTTTCGGACGATTCGTTTTTCGACCAAACCAAAATGTTTAATATTTAGTATTTACATTATGTTACATATATAGAAAAGTATTAAAAATATAAGATGCATACAAATTATGTAATATAAAAATAAAAATACATAGGTAGGTCATATCTATATAATCATTTATTATTTGATCGATGGTCGTTAAGTTTTATTGTGACGATAACTACCATTTAGGTATATCATATATTACGTACCAAGACAAAAAGGAATATCTAATAAATACTTAAATAATTGTTGTACAACTTCTATTTTTGTATTTTTCTGTATGTATAACATAACATTCAACTTTTTGGTTTGGCCAAAAAGGCAGAAAAGGCTGCCTCCATCTCAGGTCCCGAAAAAAGTCACCATAATAAATGGTGAACCTTTCTGGTTCGGGATTGTCCCGCTTGGCTATACTCGTTTCAGTAGTTTATCTTTACAGAATAAATGTTGACGATATTTAATTTTATGTTATTCTACCGGTGGAAACATTTAATTTACACCAAATGTCCAGAGATCTACTTGTTAAAGTTCACCTGCGGGTGTTTAATTTCAATATGTATCCATTTACTATTTGATTCTTGTAAGACCTAGTGGTTATTATGAACGACAGCTGACAAGAAAATTCCTAAACATAACAACTGACAGATCCATGTTTTAATTAAATAGAGACAAAACCGTAGACAGTGATTCGACCGGAAAATCTCTGATTTTTGTTTTGTTTTTCTGTCAAGTTGGGTAGGCACCTACATTATAATAGTTAATTAAGATTTCTATTCCTCACACTATCACAGGCCCTTGCGGGCACTTCAAACTCAAACCATCATCACATTCGATATTTTGAAATGTTTATTTCCACATGTTTCATGTCTGTTAAGGAATGTTGTAAATTGTTCTTGTAAAATTACCTATTGAAAAACTATTATTATTATCAAACACTGTTATAATTAATTTGTACTAAATATTTATAATTTTTAATTGGCATTGAATATTAATGAATATTCTACCATCGAGCACCAAGAAAACGTTTAATATTTTTCAATTTAACATGTGAAAATATTATCACTGATTAAACATAATATTATATAGGCATACAGTATTGGGTAGTAACGTAACGTATGTTACTACTTACTTGCTACTGTAACGTTAGAATAGCAACTACATTGGCCCTTTTTAAAATTACTTTACTGTAACTTACTGTAATTTTGTTTGCATTTGAGTACAAGAGTTACAACGTTAATTATTTATAAGTAACTTAGAAAAATAATGTGTTAGATTTTATTTAAAAAAAAAAATAACCATAAAAATCAATTGGATTATAATATTTTTATTATCAATTTGTTTATTGACTTGAGTAGGTATAGCACAAGTAGCTGCTGCCTCCTGTATGCTATAAGTAGTTGATTTATTTTTTTGATATTATTTGATAAGTGCATATACATGGTGTCAGGGAATCAATAATAGTAAAAGCAATTTTTTGTTATAAAATACGAATGTATTGAAAATATTTATTAATTCACGTCTATATAATAACAACTTCTTATAAGTTATAATAATTTAAGTTATGACTTAAGTGTTTACTGGTCTATACCTATTTTTCTAAAGAGTTTAATTTTAAGTGTTGTAAAACTACAATTTACTTCTATTAATCCTTAATGAAGCTGATAATCTAGAAATTTATTTATTTTCGGTTTTGATTGACATTCATTTTGTTTCTTGGGTACAGCTGAGTAATAACAATTTTATACATTTTTAACCTAACATAGATTTTTTGATGCATTATTTTGAATTAAATTGATGGCTACCCAAGACTATTAGTCATACTGTTACTGAGAATCTCGACAATCGCATGTCAACTTGATTTTTATATGGGTGCACCAATGTATTTTATGTAACAATGTAAGACGCTCGTCCAAAGTGGTATATACATATACTTTGCGTGTACGCTCGTCTAGTTTTTAATTCATAGAAATATTCAAAGGAAAAATATAAATGTTGTCGTCCTTTATTTTTTTTTATTAATATTTTATGGCTTAAAAGAACGCTATGAAATTATTGCTATTTTATATTCAAAAAACTCAATGTCATGTTTTTATTTTTTTAAGTACATATTTTCTTAATGTTATAATTGACTAATTAGCCAATTGCTTGAAATGAAAACATGTTCCAGTATTGTGTAAAACACGTTAGAACATTTTAAGTATAAAATATCACTATTCTTTATCTATTTCCATTGTCATAATAGGTAGGTACCTAGCTATATTGTTCTGAACATTTATTGAATATGAATATCTATAATGGCATTGATACTTAATGTGTAAGTCCCTACTAAGTACTGTATATAGATATATAAATTATAATCAGTGTTGGGTAGTAACATAAAGCAAATTACAAATTTCTGTAATGAAATTACTTTTGCAGTAACGCTGTAGTAATTTCATAAAATGTTATTTAAATTAACGCAATTTAACAAATTAACTTTTAAAAGTCATTTCTATAGAGTAAAGGTCCCCACACACTGCAGCGGTGGTGTTAAATTCTATTGTCTTGGCTTCACCGCCGCGGTGAGCGGTGAAATGTGTCCTACAGCAATTCACCGCCACCGCCATCGTCACCGCTGCAGTGTGTGGGGACCTTTTCATATTATTTTACATGTTATTAAAATAAATTATTTGATAATGTATGACAAAAACTAGGTGCTAGGATATTCCAGAAAAATGTATATTAATAAAATGTATTTACAATTCCGAAAGTTTTAGACAATAGATAATGATCAACAATATTATAAAAATACTAGGAATTAATATCTTTATAATACATTGTTCATGTATAACATTAATGTATTAAGAATATACCTACTACCTACTTATTAGTCGTTATGTACTGATTTTGTAATTATTTTTTAAGAAAAGTAATGTTGTTTGTAACTCCCTACTTTTTAAATGAAATAGTAAAGTAACGTGATAATAATAATATCTAATTTAAATAAAAATATTTATTGTAAGCGAGTAACGTACATTTATTAGGTAGTTTTCATAAGTAATTTACACAACACTGATGACTGATTAAAACAAACTAGATAACCTAGAGTAGGCTCTAGTAGATAAATCGTAATGAACAAAATATGTAGTTGGCCGCTATATTCCAAGAGTGATAATACATATTATTATGTGATAAGAATATGATAAATTTATAACTAAATTGATTAATAATCAATTACAGAAATGGGGAAGAAATTTCTGTAATAGGTATGATGTTTTAAAGTGATACTGCTTCAATTGATGATAACATTATTTGCACTTTTAGTAAATGGCAATTAGCTTCATTAATAATCACAGTCAGACAGTCGTCTTTCTAGTTTGTTTATATTTATCTGTGTAATTGTACTTCCTACTGTCCGTCGTCCAAATTTAGACTTACATTAAATATTGTGCTGGTATTGATCACACGTCATATCCGTCGAGTTTTCTAACATACAATTTCTACATAATCTCTGTACATCTATAAATTCAATAATGTAAGTAACACGGTTGTTCGTTATTTTTTTTATTATTGAAACTTGATACGTAAAAAAGAATTTAAACTATAGTGGCGTACCTAACTAAATTTATTTTGAATCAAAATTATATTATATTCTATTTTATAGTCACGTGAATATAATTATCAATCGTACATGCGTGTTAATAAATATATCGATATGCCTATGTAAGCCTATAGTATTATAATATTATATAAATTGGCCTAAATATTAGGTAATTGGTTCCAGATGTTTATGCATTACATCAGATAGGTACAAAAAAAAGACAATACCTATTGTTCATCGCGTTGTCGTACGCATGGGAAACTGGAATTAATTTCATTCCAACAAGATAGTGTTGATCATTTATAATATAATATTATTATCATATATCGTAGGTATACAATTTATTGCCCACATATTTGGAGAATCCGCATAACACTGATGATATAACGTTTGATAACATTTGGAATTGTCCATCACGGAATAAACAAAAATATGTTCAAAAATTAATCATAAATCGATAATAAACGTGACTCTTAGTAATGACGGTAGTAAAACAGAACCCGGTAATATTAATTTAGAACTTATATTCATAAGAAACAAAATAATTATATGTTTAAACAATTTTTTTCTGATGAGTACACGATGCGCTGCCTCTTAGGTACAATATTTATTCAATTTAACCTTATTTTTTAACCTTATGTCTTATGACAATAACTCTTAAATTATTATGAGTTTATACTACAACTGCAATAAGGAACATGAATTAAATTAAATAATTCATAAAGTATAATATTATCTACGTATATCGCCGGGCACCCGCAGAGAGAAATTATTATATATTAATGTAAATTATAATATTTATTGCTTGTACATTTGATATCTAGAATCTATATATCTATACATATGTACAGCTATTTATAATTTATTTTGCAGTAATAATATTGACATTTAAAATAATGAATGATCAAAGTTTATTTGTCATAGAATGACACTAATATTACTTATTATATTATTATTTATTATGTGATGTGAAAAAATGTGAAGAAAAATAAAACATGTTTCTGAGTGTGTGCATTTGTTTACTGGTAAAATACGATTGAGAACAGAAATTTTAGTAAGGCTATCGAGAACACTTAATTTACATTTTTTCTTCAACGTTGCCTTATTTAATAATTTTTATCGAAATATTTAGCACAATATTTAATACTGGCCCAGTGATCCTGATAAATTGTGAAAATCAACTTCGAAATCCATACAAAAAGTATGATCACCTACGAAAGTGGTTCAGTTCTTTTTTTGTCTACAATGTTTCAGTAATAAAGATGTTTAAAATGCGTTTTGGGAGTAAATGAGCTACGGTATATAGAACAAGGTAAAAAAGAAAATTAT